CCAGCCTGGGTGACAGAGCAAGACTCCGAAAAAAAAGAAAAAAAAAAAAAAAAAAAAATTAAAATGCATGAACAAAGGGAAAGGGTGAAGGTGTGGGATTATGTCACGATTTGTTTGCTTATTTTATTTTTTTCTCAATTTTGGAAAATCGCCGCTTCACACTTTTCCCAAAACGGGAACAGATTGAAGCGACACTTCTATGGACGCAAATACACACACCTGTTGTGTGACTCACATTTTGAAGGTTTCCCTGGGGATAAAAACATTGGGACATTTTTCACCCTAACAGCAATACAAAGTGTGAGCGGCGAATGGTTCGCTTCTTCTAATGGGGGGTGAGGTGGGGGGAGAAACACACAAACCGCTATGCGGAGAAGCTGGAACGCTTTTTTGCGAAAAACAAATCACTGCTCCCCGTTCTGCATAATGCTGGTGGAGAACGCCTTGATCTTGTTCATGATGTTTAAGTAGCCATTTATTCTGCTCATGGTGAGAAATTCCGAGATGCCGGTCAGCATAATGAAGTCTGGGTTTACGCGTAATATCTCCTCAGGGGGGTAACCACTCAGGCCGTCCACTAAGATGTACACAATTCCTTTGGTCAGCAGTCCGTCTGTGGGGTGGCAAAGTAGGCAAAAATTAAAGCACTGTGTATGTGCTGATGCGGGGAGGGGAGATAGAAATGCGAATCGCTGAACAAAGCAAAGTGCTGGGCAGTTAACCCCTGCGCGCAGCTGTGTCTCACCTGAATCCCCTAACCACGTAATGATCTTCTTCCCCGCACGGGTCTCCACCGTGGGGTAAACGTACACAGTTGACTGGCAGCCCTGCAAAAAGGAGAGCGCGCGAGTTGATGAGTTGTCCACATAGGGACGTACATCTGTTTTGGGGCTCCCCCACACATCAGCGACGCGTTGCTGCGTAATTTGGCCGCCTTACCAACACTTGGTTTTGTCTGTTTTTTAATTCTTCCGGCATCGGCGGGCACTTCCTCCCCAGCAGTATCACTTCTTGGCTTCTAAGAAGAAATATATAAATCGATTTTTTTTTTTTTTTTTTTTTTGTTAAGATGAAAAAGGGTTCCGGCTTGGGGGGCTGCTACTCCAGGAGGGAATACACACAACTTGTGCGTGCGTTCTGCCCTGAAAGTGGAGCCTGTCCGGTTGAATAAACCGCCAAGCACGCCTGCAAAGTGTTTCTTTGGCATATGCGTGAACATATGCATAGAAATATATGCACATGTGCGCGTCCACAAGTGGCATCTTCCTCGTTCTCTCCTTTTTCTCACTTGCGATAGGGATCATTCGGAAGGGCTTGAAAGAACTGCACCGTTTTTCTGAGCTTTGGGGTTAGTTTGTACTGCTCAATGTTTGAATTCCGCGGCGGCTGGCCTCCGGACAGATGTTCCAGTATGTCCCCAAGGTAGGAGTTCCTCCCCTTGCTGTTTCTTAGGTCGCAATTTTTTAAGTAAAGCAAAGAATTGCATTTAACCCTATTTATTTTTTTTCTCCCAAAGGGGCTTACTCTTTTTATAATTTTCAACTCGCTTCTTTTTTGGCTGTAATGTTTTCCACATATCATGGAGCTAACCACAAATGAGTAGAAGACAATGATCTGTAGGTATAGGAAGCAGATTTTTTTTATTTCCCTTTTCTTCATTTTTCTGCAATGACGTACGGTTAGCGGGCACATATTTCACGGGGGGAGAGCGCCGACACGGTGACGAGACGCAAATGGGTTAAACACACATTACGTTGTGGAACTCATTTTTTTAAAAAGTACATTTGTCAGATGGATAAAGTGGAGGGGAAATGCGAGAGGGTTTGAAGTGGATAGCATTTGCGCAGTTTAAGATGTTGGGCGGTGGCAACGGCAGGGCAAGCTCTACGCGGAAGTGGGCCAGACGGGGAATACATATACCATGGACGTATGGATTTGCTTCTGTCTCCATGTGCTGTTATCCCTCCGTGTGCACGGACAGGACAAACCAGCGCCCCGCCAACTCAGAACAGTTTTGTGCAGGCGCTTCATAAACACGCAAGGACGGGTTAGAAGAAGAAAAAAAAAGAAGAAAAGTATCCCCCTTTACGCCCGCATGCTCTCTACGCTTTCGCGGAACTCTATAAAGGACGTATCACAACATGTGGAGCAAACCTGAAGGGGCGTACATTGAAGCAGTGCATAGATAATACATTCCTGCAGCTTCCCCTTTGTTGACAGTACAGATGGGAGAACAAAAAAGGGTTTTCCTAACCCAGCTGCATGTGGAGTAACGCAAATTTATTCTACTCCCTTTTTGGTTCCTCATGTTTGGCTAGGTTATATCCCCTGCGGGAGGGAAATTAAAAAAAAAAAAAAAGAGAAACGCACCGAGGAGAATGTTCAAAGGGGAACAGTGCAGGACATGGGAAAAAAAAAAATGCTAAATCGGCAGGAGAAACAAAACATACGCACAGATGTTTAATTTGAAGGGTATTAAGTGGACTATTCCTTCTCCCCAATTCCTTCATTTTAAAGTTCCCTTTTTTTTTTCCCTTTTTTTTTTTTTTTTTTTTTTGTCATTTTAAGAAGCAAGGAGGTTGGACGCGCCAGGCGTATGTTTCATCTGAGCGTTTTTTTAAACAAATATAGGATACGCGGCATGGGGCAGCTCTGTTGCATTAGCGGCTTCAACACTCGTTGGATAATTTTTTGCCGAACTGTGCGCTCCGTTTGATGCTGGAAGGTGCCCTCTTCGTGTCTGCGTCTGGAAGGCGCCCCTTTCATGTCTGCGTTTGGAAGGCCCCTCTTTCGTTTCTGCGTCTTCTTTTGAAGCCTTTTAGGAAACGGCGAATAGGGGGGGAGCCGCAGACAGGTATGAGGTTAGGAGGCGAGGCGCCGGATCGATCCATAGCTCTCCGCCAGGGCTTACCCCTTCTTACCTGATATCCCCCCCGCTGAGGATGGGCGTGAAGGGGCTGTGGTCGATCGTGGCCCCCGTGGGGGTGCGGGTCAACCCGGAGATCTTCACGGGGAAGCGAATTGCCATCGACGTGAGCATCTGGCTGTACGAGCTGACGTACGCGAATAACCTGAAGGTGCTACGAAATGGAGGCGTAGACAACATGAGCATCTTTAATGACCTGTGGATGGATTTCTCTGAAAATATGAGCAGCGACATAAGGCCGGACAATCTGAAGAAGGTGCATCTCTACTTCTTCTTCCTGCGCATATGCAAACTGCTCTATTATAACATAAGGCCTATTTTCATATTTGACGGAACCCCCCCCGAACTGAAAAGGAAAACGATTTTCCAGAGAAACATCAGGAGGAGAAACCATGAGGAGAGGTTCAAGAAGACCGCCGAAAAACTTATTTACAATTATTACCAAAGGACTTTATTAAAATCGCTGAAAAGTAGGAGTACCTCAAGGAAGAAAAGTTCTAATGGAAAAGAGGCTATCTCTCAAGGACGGTCTTCCACATCGGTCGGATTAGACACCAGAGTGGAAAGCAACCCGTCTGCTTCTGCTTCTGCGTCTCCTTTTCCTGCCGCTTCTGCGCAACACACCTATGAGCTGATCGAAATATACGATAGCATTCGAGAAAATGATGCCTCCCTTGCCAGCATGGTAGAGCACATAGGTAACGTCCCCATTAGCATCAAGGACGTTTTGAATATATGTAACGACGAAGATCTGAAGAAGATACAGAACAAGGTGCTTATGATTACCGATTTGGAGGTGCTAGCCGGGGGGATGAGCGGAAAGATGAAAGGGAAGGAGATACCAAGTGGTCTGGAGGAGATACCAAATGATCGGAAGGAGAATGGGGAAAGGGACAGCGGGGTGGACAGTGCTGCAGAGGAGGGAAGGACCAAAGACGAGGATGAATATGCGACCATTATGAGAGGAGAATCTCCACCAGTGAGTGAACACCTAAATGACATGGAAAACCAAATTGACGAAGAGATTGTCCGGAAGAAACACCTAGCCAGGAAGAAGTACTATGAGAGCATCCCTAAAAATTTCAAGGGCTTCCTGTGTATGCGTCGGCCGGTCGATATTATCGACATAAGCAACTATAGTACGGACATTCTGGAGTTCACGCGCAAATTGGGCGAGGGGGAGGGCCAAGAGGTTGGAGCGGATGAAGTGGGCCAAGCGGTTGGAATGGATGAAGCGGTCGAACAGGGGAGACCCGCAAAGGACCCTACAGAGGGGTATATCCTCCACAGAGGGGAGCCAGAAAGGTCGTTAATGGCACCAAATACGAAGCAGCGTAGCGTGGAGAAGAGGGGAGGACCAGACAATGCATACGTTCTCCTCAGCGAGGGGGACACCCCGGAAAAGGAGGAGCCCGACGAGGAAAACCTGAACCGGGAAACCCCCCAAAAGGAGAACCCCCCCCACAAGGAACAGATCAACATCCTGGAGCTGCCCCCCACCTTTGACCGGGCTGACCTGTTCCACGAGGGGAAAGACGAATACAAAGTGTACTACGTAAACAACGAGGAAATAAAAATCCCCCTCTTCAAGGAGCTAAACAAGGACGTGTTTGAAAAACTCCCCATCAAATTGCAGTACCAGATTTTGCAAGACATAAAAGAAGAGTGGTATGTAGACAATAGGGTAAAGGCCATAAAGGCCAAAGACGACATGGACATATTTTCGCAGGTGCAGTTGGAGACATACGTGAGGATGATTAAGACAGATTTCGAAATTGAGAAACTCAAAATAAAGATGGCTGAGAAGATACAGAAAGCGGATGGAGAACTCGTCATTAATAAAGAGATGTCCAAACAATTGGACAGTATCAGCATCAGGGATTACAACGATGTGGTTAGGAAAAAGAAGAAGAAGAAGAAAAAAAAATACTTCAATGAGATTCTGAACGAATGCTATTTCGAGGGGGAAGATGAGCAATACAAGGAGCTATACGTTAAGGGGGAGGAAGACGACGACGAGGAAGCAGGAATGGTGATGAATGCACAAGTAGTGGGAGAGAGGCTCGCAAAGGGGGAAGATGACGGAAGCGTACGCCACGATCAGCGCATCTCCATAGAGGCCTATGGACAAGTAGAACGGGCCAGAAGGAGGGACGTGACTAGGCCCAAAAGGGAACAGCACGGGGAGGATAACCAACCGGAGAACGGACCGGAGAACGGACCGGAGGACGAAAAAAAGGCGCTGATTAAAATGGAGAAGGAATTTAAGCAGGACCTGCTGCTCGACGATGAGGAGCTTTTCGGGGAAGATCTCCTGCGAGTGGTGGACGAGGACGGGCAGCAAATTGAGGAGAATCCAGTTGAGGAGAAGCAAACTGAGGAGGAACAAGTGGAGGGGCATCCCCTTCAGGGAAGCACCCCTCCCAAGGGGGAAACCCCACCTGGAGCGAACAAGGCAGATGCGGGGGAGCAGATCACCCTCTTGAGACAGGTCGATATATACGAGAATAGGTATTCTCCCCCAAACCTTCACAGCAGTGGAGATGACTTCGAAAATTGCAGTGTTGACGAGAAGGAGCAAAGAGAAGAAGACCTGGAGCGGCCAATCGAAGAGAACGAGGGGCTGCAAATCGTACAGGACGTGATTGACCTAACCAGCAATGATGAACAGGCGGAGGGGGAGGTCGACGAGCGGGGCGCGGATAGAGACACGTTCGCCGTCGTGTCGCCTCGCCAAGGACTGAAAGGGGTGATGACCCCCCTTGAGAGGAATGCTACTCCTGCTGGAGATCCCTCCGAGGGTCACAAACAGAGGGAGATATCCATCGGGATGAGTGATGGAGAAGAAATATGCCAGCCATCCAATGAGCCACACATTAGCGCTGAGAAGGAAGTACGTGATGAAGTGATGCAGATTCTTCAGGCAGCTCCACGAGGTGGGGAGAGGGCACATGTTGAGGCCCCCCCTCTGCATGATAAGGTAGACAGTTTAATAGTTGATTCTTCGAATGGGGAGGAGTCATCGGAAGGGGAAGACAAACAGAAAATCTCCGAGGAGATAAAAAAGGTGCAGAAAAGGGTGAAGCAGAAGGTAAAGCGATTTATGAGCAAAGACGAAATAAACAATCTGCTTCTGAACAAGGTGGACCTGGGCAACGTAGGGAAGGAGAGCTATCTGGAGAACCTGCTGAGCAATAAGGTGTTGCTGGACCGGTTCGGCGTCGGAGGGGAGGCAGGAGAGGCAGAAGAGGCGGGGGCTGAGGAGGTGGGCGATGAATCCAGCTATGAAGTCCGCGATGAAGTCCGCGATGAAGCCCACTATAAACCCCGTCATGAAGACATCCTGGCCACCGAATTGCTCGATGGGGAAGGGTCCCCCCCTGATGATCGTGACCACATGCGCGATAGCCGCGCGCTGGACGCCTACCTCGACCAAACGAACAAAGAGAACGAGCATCTGGTGAGGGAGTATAAAAAGCTAAAAAAAAACAACATCGAAATAAATGAAGAAATGAATGAAGACATCAAAATTCTTCTGAACATGTTTGGAATCCCCTATGTTCAGTCCCCCTGCGAAGCGGAGGCCCAGTGTTCCTACCTCAACTGCAACAATCACTGTGACGCGATTATAAGTGATGACTCCGATGTGCTTGTCTTCAGTGGAAAAACGGTGATTAAAAATTTTTTTAATAGGAAAAAAACGGTAGAGGTATATGAAAGGAAGCTCATAGAGGACAAGTTGGGTCTGTACCAAGATGAACTAATCAATCTGTCGTTACTATGCGGATGTGATTATACCATTGGAGTCCACGGTGTAGGAATAGTAAACGCATTGGAGATTATTAAAGCCTTCCCTACCTTTGACGATTTGAAGAAATTGAAGGAGATCGTATCGAACCCCTTTCGAGATCTAAGCAAAGATGACAAATATTTCAACAACGAAGAAGTCAAGCGTTTTTTAAAAACGCACAAAAATTATAAGCTAAATTGGATCTTCCCGCGCAATTTTCCCGACAGGGAAGTATACAAATGCTTCAAATATCCGAAGGTCTGTACAGACATAGAGAAGTTTCAATGGCATGTTCCAAACCTGAGTCATATCAGCAGATTTTTGCACAAAGCGACGAACATCCCGGAGGAGAAAATTCACAATGTGCTGAGTCCCATTTTGCAAAAATACGATGTTAATGTTAGAAGTTACCAGCTCAAGATTGATGATTTTTTCCCCATCATTCAGAGGAAGAGAAAGAGCGTCGACGATCTGATACACATCATTCGGGACACCCAGAAGGGAAAAAGAAGGGACACCAGCAGCGGTAAAAGAGGCAAAGGCGGCAAGACAAGGAACGCCACTATAGGAGGCAGCTCCCCACTGGGCAGAGACATCACGTCTCTTATTGACTTGAACCCTGCGGGGGTCATTCGGTCCAAGCGCATGTCGGCGGCAATGGACGGCATAAAGGGGCGCGCCCGCAAAAGGGGCTCCTCAGGAGGGGCGCCGAAATAAGCGGTTATGCAAGCGGTGATATGCGGCTGAGCCCCGTTCGGGGGCTTCCCTTCGCGCATTCCCTTTTTGTCAATTCTCCACGCTGTTACGCTGTTTGTTACGCCGTTTGTTACTCTGTTTGTTACGCTGTTTGTTACTCCGTTTGTTACGCCTTTTTTTTTTGGTACGTTTTTTGGTGCATTCAGTCACACAGTGGCGCCTGCGTGTTGGCGTTACTATTGGCATTACTCCTGGCGTCAGTGTTTGTTTTAGCGTCCCTGTCCCTTTCACAGACCTGTCACAGACCTTGTCATCATCACTGTTGTCATTATCGAAACCGTTACCCTTTGCGGTGGGGTCATTCTTATCGTTCATGTGCATGCGCACGAGAAAAAAAAAAAAAATTTGAAATGTTTAGCAGTGCAAAGGAGGAGAGGCGAACATGCTACATGGGCGACCTTAACGTAAAGGGCGCTATGCACCCGGCAGCGTGCACCCGCACTGTCGCCTCTCGCGTTTTCTTCTTTTTTTTTCCCCGCCCGGTCAGTTGATCGCTGGCGGCACGTAGTTGGGGTCCTTCTTCAGAATGACGATTCCTTCGAGAGTGTCACTGATGGGGATGTCTGCGGAGGGGGGGGAGCGGTAAAGTGGTAGGTGGCAGCGGTAAAAGAGCAGAGGCCAAATCAGCAGCACACGCAACTGGTCCACTTACACTCCTCCGTGGCTATCTCCGCGCGGTCCGTGTGCAGGAGAAGGACGGGCGTCACGTGGGTCTGGAACCCCGTGATTGTTTTGGGCTTCCCGGCTTGCCCGACGACGTCTACGGCCTGGACGGGGGTAACAAGGGGGAGATTATGAGGGAGTGCCCAAATGGATGCAATGGGGGGGATGCAAAAAGGTCCAAGGAGGGGGCGGCCAAAGGGATGTAACGACGGGATGGCCAAATGGAGGCAATGGGGGGGGACGCCCAAATGTGTATGCCTGTGTTATCATATGTAGGGGATGCAAATCGTCGCTGTGGCGACGCGCTAACCTGGCCGACGCGCACCGAGATGGGAAGTGGCTCCAAGTCCTCGTTGACGGTGACGAGCATGCGGGGGTAAATGCAGGGCACAAGGTGATACAGCAGGTAGTGGTACTTTCCCAATATGGTGGTCTTCAATTGGAGACACGCGTGGATGGTGACGAGGAGAGATCCCAACGCTACGTGGTTGATGATGGATCGATTCGAATGAAGGGGGTTAATCGTTAGTAGCCCTTTTCCCATATAGAGCAGACCTTGAGACAGTCTCACAACAAAGGTGGCATTGGTATCTTTGGAATAGAAGGTGGATAACTGTCTCAGTAAGATTGCTATACGTGAGTTATTCGTCCCGGCACCAACAAAGCCTAGGGACATAATTGCATGCAAAGCGACATCTGCGTCTTGGTCATGAGTCAGTTTGGAGAGGATGTCTACGATGTTGGGTTTAGGGAAGGAGGTGAATAATAACGCGAGGGCTAAGGGGACTGCTTTCTTTTGGTTCAAATTTGAGTACTGTAAAAAGTGGTCTATAATTCTAGTGGTCATTTCGGAACTGATATCATCCGTGAGGGCTATGAGGGCAATGTTAAGGATAGCTACACACTGGTCTAGGTTGTCTTCCGCCTGGGGGGTAGTGCCTCCTGCGCCATTTGCGGTGCCACTAGCTGCGCCACTTCCCCCGTTTGCATTACCTTTCCCGTCAGCTGATCCCCCCTTGGCGCTCTTACTACCTATGGTGTTGTTGGCCCGCTTGCCATCCGAAACGGAGCCTTTCCCTTCCGAAACCCCAGGGAGAGTAGTTTTTCCATCAGAAGCATTACCACCATGGGAGGGAGGATTATGACTATCACTTGGCTTCGAAAAACTATCCATATTAACCTTCTTGTCATTTCTCTTCTCTACCAGAAGTTGTAGCATTTTTTGGACCTTCAAAACATCATTGGAGCCAGCAAAGGACATACCCTCTACCGTGGTCATCATATATTTTGCGATTGGATGTTTGATGATTTCTAAAGCGGAGAGAGTAGCTTCGCATTTTTCTCTTGAGCAAAGGAATAAGAGGCCTAAAGCGACTGCATACAATTTGGCAATCGGCTGGTCGAGCGAATTTGGAACCTTTTCTCTTTCCATCACTGTGTCAATGATGTATTCTGCAATTTCTCTATTTTGCGAACCGACAAAGACAAGTCCCAACGACACGGCTGCGAAGACGCTGCACTCGATGATGCAGCCATTATCTACTAGAGATGGCATGAGTACATCGAGGAGGCTTTCCTTCCCTGACCCAGCATATGCATAACCAAAGCCTAATATGGCTCCTATTCTTTCCATGGTATTCTCTGCATCTATATGTTCAGATAACAATGCAAAGGCAGGATCGCATTCGCTTTTTACATTAGTACAGGCTAAGCCGAAGGCCATAAGAGAACCCGCCTTGACATACTGATCGGTACTATACTGAAATTTGTCAATTTGGGACAACCCTTCATCGATGTTCCACAAGAGGAGTAATCCCATAGAGGCCGTTGCACTCATCAAGCCATAGTCCTTATTCTTAAAAATCCAGAGAGACGAATTAACCGTCATTAATTTATCCTTACAGAAGGCAGCATTAACAAATGCATTTACAAAGGAGGACGACAGATTCTGTTTTGCAGAATCCCACACATTTGTATTTCTCTTCTCTTCTAAATACGTTTTGTAAATATCTTCTGGCAATTTGGGTTCTTCTACGTCTAAATCTTTGGCTAGCTTCAAAAAGATGGAAGATAAATGTTCCCCTGAGGAAAGACTAGCTAGCTGGTTCAGGTCCATATGAGGATATCGAATCGTTTCCTCTTGGGTGAATTCCAAATGGATGGAATGTCTGGAACAAATTAAAGCCATCTGCTTACATGTCATCATGTCCCCACATTCAAAAAGGAGATCCTTAATCTTCTCTGTCCTGTTTAGTCTCAGTAAGATTTTTAAATATTCCACATGTCTCTTGTGCTTCTTCAAGATGTGGAGAATCACGTCCATCAATTTGTAGTACTCCTCCGTGGAGGAACTGTAATGAGTTATGTTAAGGAGATACAATATAGACCTTTCACAGGATTTCTCATCCACGTATAAGTGAATGTCGTTAATCTTGTCTACCTCTATCAGCAGATCGATTGCCTCATATTCCGTGTTGTGGTTAAAACAGTACGGCACGATGATGTTGACCAATTCGTAGATGTGGCTAATCATGTGCACTCCTTTCGGCATGCTGCCAGGTGAGCCGGCCAGGGGGCCACTACTACCTGCCACGCTGGGGGAAGAGGACGCTCCCGCAGCTGCCACTCCTGCCGCTGATCCTGAAGTGACGGCCGCCACAGAGCCAGACGACTCCTCCTCTTTCACATTCTTAAACTCTACCAAGAGCTTACTGATTAGATTCTTTATATACTCATGACCGTAACTCACTAAATCGCTCTTATTCCCCATGATGATATATTTGACGATGTTGTTCTCATCGCCTATGGTGGTGGACAAGGCACTTATCATATTGCTCATCTTCTTTTTGCATTCTTCGAATTTCATATGCTCATGTATTTCTAGCAGTGTGTTATAATGGGTCTTCAATACCTTCAGAGCTAGCAAGGACGAAGTCAATATTCCACTGGTATCGATTATTTCCTTGTTCAGCATCGTAATGGATAGGTTTACTACATCTGGGTCGTCATCTCGAAGCCTGGTGATCAGCAGCTCCAGTTCTTCCTTTTTTTTCTTCTCCTCTTCGTTCAGTTCTTCATTCTTCATTTTTAGACTGTTCAGTTTTCTCTTCTTGTCCTCCGCTTCCTTGGGCTTCACGGGTACCTTGATGGATACAGCCTGCGGGGGAGCGGTAAAGCGATAAAGCGGGGTAAGCATATGAGGTGTAACGTGGGAGTGGCTCCCTTTTTCTGCCACTTATCAACACTGTTGAGAGCTTCCCTTTCTCCTGTGTCTGGTGCAACCGTCGCGGCGCCACAAAACATGCTCATGAGTTGCCTCCTACCTTCTTGTCCTCAGCCGTCATCGTTCTTCCTCTTATTCGATAGGCAGGCGAGTGAGAAAAAAGGCGGGAACAGAAATTATCTGCACGTGTACGGGGTGGGTACACGTCTGTTCACGCAGAAAAGAAAGTACCAAAGGGGAGCTATGCTTGCATATCATCCACACGTCAACGGGGAGTTGTTCTAGGTGAGGCAGCGTGCACGTCAGGGGTGATCACGTTTGTGGCGATCACGCTTGTGTTGAATCGGGTCCAGCCCTTTTTCTGTGACGATCGCGACAATGGTCCGTGTGCCCGCAGAGTGGGGGGAGGGGGAGAAGAAGCTCTTTTAACGCGTATGCACACCTGTGGAGGGGTTGGCGTTTTTGAATGTACGTAAGTATAGCCGGGCTGGACTCCCCCCAGCAGATGTTTTAAAATGTTCCCTTAAGAGGAAGTGTAAATTGGCTGTTTCGAAACAAATGAGCAGCGGAAGCAAGTATACATGCACTGCGTCGCATTGATCGGTTGGCTCACCGTGCGAAGAGTCGCTCAGAAGGTTTTCTTCTTTTCTTTTCTCTTCTTCAGTATTATTTTATTCTGTATTCTCTTCTTCTCTCTTTTTTTTTCTCTTCTTCTAAATGGTGCCTGGCAGTTGGGCTCGCACTCGACAGCCATATCCGCTTTAGCAGTTGCCGCGGCGCTGAGCCATTCCTTCGCTTCAGCGTCGAAGTGGTGGGGAGTGCTAATGAGGAGAAATATCGAAGATTGCAACGATGATTTCAAACACATGTGCGAAAATATAACTTCACGTAAGGATATTCTTCTGAGTTGGAGTTAAATCAGAATGGAGTGGGGAGGGGGCGGCAAAAAAGCAGTGCTCTCGTACGCGTGTACAAACAAGTGCACATAAATGTAAAGGCATTTGCACGTTCGGCACCTGTGCAGAATTGCACCCAGCATTCCCGAGCCATGCATATTGCTACCTCTGCACTAAGGCAGCCAAATCGTATGCATATGATTGTATGTGCGCATCCATTCAGGGCCTCATTACGTTAAAGGAGGGAACCGAATCGGAGAAGAATAAAGTAAAAGGAAAAAAAGATCGAATAAGCCACGAAATGTAAACATTAAGAACGAACTCAACCGATCATTCCTCGCAGTTTGCATTTTGTAGTTTGCTGTTTACTTTTTCATTTCTCCGGTGTAAATCGTCTGAACAAGTCAGGTAAAAAAAAAAAAAAAATAAGGAACACATCACATCAGGTAAATTCCCCATTTCTATCTCACGAGCCTGCAGTTGCACCCCTCCCGACTTGTTGCACATATACATATGAACAAGAATAACTGAACCAATCCCTCCTCTTTTAGGAGGCATCCATACATAGCTGCATACACACACACACACTTCGACCAAGGGTGTAATTCTTATGCAGCCGTTTGTATAAAGGATTGAGGGCTCATATTGTTCTTTTTTTTCTCTCTTTTTTTCTTTTTCTTTCGATTAAAATGGGAAAAGAAAAGGGTAAGATATAAGAACATTCCTAACGTAACATTTGGTGATGAATAAAGTTGGATCATTTTTTTGTCATATTCACCCTTTTGCCTAACTTTTTATGATGCAAAAATTTTAAAATGCCTTTTTAAAGGAGCTAGCACCAAGCCAGAAGTTGCATTCAACTGAGGGGGGGAACACCAATAGTCAGCAACCTCTCGCCCACTGTTTTCTATTTTCCGCTTACCCAGGGGAGAAGAAATATTTCATCTCTTTTTCGCGTGGGTAGTATTTCCCCCGTTCGCTTTGCCTTCCCAAAGTTGGTGAACCCTTTGGGCTTCTTAACTTTTTTTTCTTCCCTCCGTTTTATTATTTTTTTTTTTTTTTTTGACATAAGTGGAGAACAAAACTCTACGCTGAACTGGGTTTCCCCCCGTTTGTGTGTGCCCATTTTTCCGAGCTATTACCTCCTTTTTGCGCTTCTTCCGTGCTCCTCTTCACGCAGTAGAGTATTCTCCCCACTTTGCGTTCCCCTCACCCGTTGAAATGGAAATAGTAAACGAAGGGTGGATTTTTAAGCAGTCCAAATATTTGAAGCGGTTGCGAAAGAGGTACATGATACTAACGAAGAATTTTATCTGCTCCTTTAAGTCGCAGTATTACCAGGCGGAGAAGCCGACCGAGGTAGGGGTGGTTGGAAGAGGGCAGGTCGGCATTCCCTCCCAATACGCTCCTCATAAGCACCGCTTACCCACTGTGTGTGTGTCGTGTCCCAAGAGGTCACACTATTCATTATGTCCGTCGGCAATGCGTAGTTCCCTCGCTCTGCTCACTTGTCCGAATGATGACACAAATGTACCTTCCGTTGGGAAGACGTGGCTGTGCCCTTGCGTGGGTTCTCCTAGACGTGTGGCTCTCCGTAGGGACGTCCTTTTTTGCCACCCCGTCATGTATAGCTTCCTTCTCTCCCCCCCTGTTCGCAGATCTTGTACCTGAATAATTTCACCGAGCTGACCTCCCTGGAGGATATCCGAAAAATAAAGCTCGTGGAAAATGAGTTGGGCCTGACGAACGTGCACTTGTTTAGCATAAGATACCATAACAGGAAAATTATGTTTGCAACTCTGGACAGGGAGGAGAAGCACAAGTGGATAAGTAAGCGAAGCGGCAGCTTTTACATTTTTACATAGCCCTTTGAAGCGTCACCACATACTTCGTCTTTTTTTTTTTTTTTTTTTGCTTTCCCCCCCATTTTTCGCCCCTTCTCAGAGCACATCAGCAGGCAAATGATCAAACCGACTGTTTTGCTGAGCGAGTGAAGTGGTAGATTGGTTAGCGACAGTGTGGCAGCAGCGCGATGGGCGCAGCGGGGGTGCTCTTTTAATCCATCCACCTGGCGAGTTGTAGCGGCCTGTCCCGTGCGCCTCCTTTCTTAGAAGCCTCCTTTCGCGTTATGCTCTTTTCGCTGCTCCGTCGTGGCTTCCCCATTTTGTGAGTAACTTGACATGACTCAAGTGTCAGCCAAGGTGCGCGTAGAAAATCGGGCCGATGAAATACACCCACGTGAAGAAAAAGAACCTCGGCGCGTCAAACCCGTTTCACTTTAAAAAAAAAAAAAACTACATCCCCCATCACGTTCATTTTCGCGAATCACTTCGGGAAGGTCGGCGTTAAATAATTGTCATACTTGTTGTTTTCGTCAAAGTTGTATACACATAGGCAATTCAAACTGAGATAATTTTTTAGATCTGCCTTTAGCCTGCACAGAGGAAGGGGAAAGGGGGAGGAAGACAATCAAGACAGGCTAATAAACTGACAGTAATGCCATCGGAGGTACATATATGCATGTACAGACTTAAAGTTGGAGCGAAGTGGGATAATCTGCCCTGATAGGAAGCTAAACGGCATGCAACCTGATGAGTTGCTTTTCCCTCACCTGCCACTTTGCTCGCTTTCCTGCGGCTCGTCAATTTTAGTGAGGAGATTCAAAATAAAGGATTTGTCCTTTTTCTTTTCCATTTCTTTTTCCTTCTTCTTCTTTTTCAGCAACTCGGTGTTCTGTTCGTTTATTTCGTTTAGGATGTCATTGGTCATGTCATCGTCTACTTTTATCTGCTCATTGTTTTTGTAAATGTACTTGAGTTCCTCGACGGCCTTCTTGTTGCCTAAGGAGCGGGGGTGCAAAAGGAGGTATGTCATCAAGGAGGTATTTGCGAGGGAAGCATGTCTTCAAAGAAGCATGTGCTCAAAGAAGCATGTATATACTTTCATACACACATGGACGCGTAGAATGCTCCGAAGAGGGAGTGTTCAACCGTTTCCCAAATTACCTTTCACCGCCCTATATTTTATCTCGTCGTTTTTGCTGAACGAGAGTCTGAAGTCGTGTTCGCCATTCTTGTTGTCCTTTAAGCTCTGGTGTGGGGGGAAGCGGCGGCCGATAAATGTGGACGGGAAAAGCAACGGCCAAGAATGTAAGGGGAAAAGCAGCGGCCAAGAATGTAAGGGGAAAAGCAGCGGCCAAGAATGTAAGGGGAAAAGCGGCAGCCGCTAGTGTGATGTGTGCGACAAATCGCGAAAGGGGATAACTGCGCTGCTTTCATCAAACTGTTTGACGATCATGTGTGGCGGAGTCTTTCCCTAGTGCTACCCCTCCCCCCCAATGCACGTTTCCCATCGATGGGAACTCACCTCGTAAGCCTTTATAGCATCCTTGAAGTAAACAAATTTTACGTAAAACATGTTGCTGTTTTTTTTTCCAAAGTGGATGCCTTCACCGAGTAGCGGTCCATCTGGAGGCGCGTGTGCAAAGGGGGAAAAAGAGGAAAATAAAGTAAAACAAAATAAAGTAAAACAAAATAAAGTATAATAAAATAACGTAAAAACAAAGAATAATAAAAAGAATAAACCAAGAGGGGAAAACACATGAACAGCAAACGGGGGGAAAAAGAAAAAGGCATATTTCATGTGGTTTCTCCTGATTAGCAATAGCGTTGGCCCCTCCCGATTGGCAACAGAGTTGGCCTCTCCCCCCATGGGAACTCTTTCCCCTTACATTTACTAAATATTTCAGTTATTTCAAATCTGTTTTTATCGATGGGGATGTTTTTACAAATGATAATTCCATTGCTGTTGAGGATTTCATTCATTTAGGAGAAAGCTGTGTTTTTTGTGCGTCGTTGCTACATGAGAGGGGGAAGTCTTTTTTCTTCTATGCGTCAATATGCCCAGCTAACACGTTGCGCATACAGAGCAAGGGAAGGTCGAACCGACGGGAGTGTATGGTTGGCCTTATCTACAAACCGGGCCTCCTTAAAATGATACGGCAGAGCAGCGATGTCCTGTCGTAATGCTCATTTGTATGGAAGTTCATTTGGGTATACCCTCCTCCACCGCTCCATGAGCGAAGGAATCGTCTTGGTGAATTATTCGATTGGCGACGCGTCATTATTGAAAGAAGCGATCGCTCAGCTGACGAGGTTTTCCCCTTTTGTTACTGTGCTGCGTTTTGTTTCACTTAAAAAAGTTGCGATGGTGTGGCTTTGTTTATTCCTTGCGCATATTTTTCACTTAGCGAAATTCTTGCCACGGGGTTAAGCAAAATTATGACCTCGTTCAACTGGTTTTATCACCGCGAATGAAAGCTTGAAAATGGGGGCGCCTCGCAACGACACACCATGCTCTTTCTCGCGTGCGCACCGTTTGTGCGTTTTCTTTTATTTTACTTTATTCTGTTTTACCTTATTCTGTTTTACTTCATTTTTATTTTTTTTTGTGCGTACCTTCGTTTGTACATCTTTTTTGGTGCGCAAAAAGGGAATGCCCGTTTTGGCCGCTTTTCTTTTCCTCCCCTCGCCACCTCCTTTCGACAGGCACATCCTTTCTTGTTCCTGATTGTGGTGAATTGCTGAGCGCTTCTCCTCCCCTTTAGGGTAAATTGTGGCACTACGGCGTAAGCTTGAGCGGAACGGAATTTTTATCAAAAAGGGGTGAGCAAAGGGTGAGTAAAGGGAGGGGAAAGGACCATAGAGACGAGGCAGCGATCAACCTTCCTTCGACCAACCGTCCTGTGGTGAAAACTCCTACGATGGCACGTGTGAGGGAGAGCCCCCCGAGGAATGCCAAACATGAAACGTTCATTTCATCACCTTTGATCAGTTATTAGTTGCCTCCCCGATAAATCTCCCTCCTTGGTGAAGCTCCGTATGACCCTTCAATTGGGGCACGCACTCGGGCAAGGAAAAAGCGGGGAGACACTGAGAAATGGGCAGCCCCACGGACCCAAGCCCGCTTCGCCATTCATTTTGGATTAGTTGTGCGCCGCGGATGAAGGGCCACAGGTGTAGATATGCGGATCAGTGCATCCTTTTTTTTATGCATTTATTTGCCACAAGCAGACATATACACAGCGTCCTGCTGGCACAAAAAAAAGACCAACCTGGTTGTGGCAAACGGTCTGTACATCGGTTGGGGTGGTTCGAATGAAGTTTTACTCGAGGATTACAAAAAAAAAAAAAAAAAAGCGCCTTGGGAGGGAAGCGGCAACGGTGTAATGTTACAAAGGGGCAATGGTGCACTGTTGCAACGGGACGTGCGCTCTCGACTTCGTTGGGAGCACTCACATCACTGCTCCGTTTCGTTTGCACCGTCGGTCGCGTCTTCGGCGTACACCTCTTCCGTCGCCTCGTCTTCCTCCTCCATAGCATCGTCCTCCACGGCTCCCTCTTCGTCCGCTCCATCTTCCTCCTCCTCCACTGCTGCCTCTTCCTCCTCCTCCGCATCCGTGCTGTCGCTCAAGTCGAACTCCCGCCTGTGATCGCAGCGCAGGACGCCCCGGAAGACGTCCTTGATCTCGCTGAGGATGAACTTAAAATCATTTTTTCGGATGCGCAGAGTGTTCACGTCCGCCACGGTGTCGTAGCAGATTTGCTCAGAGTTACTATAGGCAATTTTGGAGAAAACGGAAGGCCAGTAGTCCCTTTTGTTAAGCGGACTAAAGCCATACAGAAGAGTGTCATCCGAATCGTTAATGTGACATACGACGAGGTGGTACGTCTTGTACTTATCATTGCAGTAAGACTGAAATGAGGAGAACATGTTGGAAATAAATCTCAACTCAAATGGATGAGTATACGAGTTTCTAGCAGTCTGAAATATATCCATAAAAATTTTCAAATCAGAAGTGATGTTGATACTTTTCTTGTTACTCTCCATGATTTTTTTAATTAGGACACTTAAATAGCTAGCTGCGTTTTTGTGTAGATGTTTCTCAATAAGTTTGTCGTAGATCTCGGACTGCTTGAGTCGGTCCTTAAAGATGTTGAATAGGAAATCGGACGTCTTAAGGCAGTTATACAGATATGAATCCATTTTTTTGATTCTGTTAATGTAGATGTAGATAAGGACGATGAGGAAGTAAAAGCTGTCACTGTTGTAGAGGACGTAGGTTCTTCGTTTCCATGCGAGACTATTCATCGGTTTGATTATCTTTATAAAGGCCTTTAGCTTAATGAGGATCTCATTTTGTTTTTTCAAATCCAGTTGCCTGAAATTTCCGGTGAATTCTTTTATCTCGATATGACACATTGTTCGGATTCTATTGAATGTGTTCTTAACATTCTTGTGATCATAGATGTATATGCGTTCATCGATTTCTAGGGACTCGTTTAGTGACATGAAAGACAGCATGGGTAGCAGCCCTCGCTCACGGTCAAACGAGATGAAGTGCCCATTGGATATGTTCATCGAATCGTTGTGCAGATTTTTTATCTCCCTGTTGTAATAATCATATGTCACTCCGTCCGTTTTCAAATAAGAGATTAGGGACACGCTCGAGATGAATATGATGGCGGAGGAGTCGTCTTCGCTCACGCACTGGATGAATGGATAAATCATCAGGCACATGCATTTGTTTTCTTCCTTCACAGTGTTGTAGTAGCTGTGGAGCTTTTGTTGCACGTTTTTTTTTCCTTTTCCTCCTTTGGTGTTGTGGTTACTTCGCGTGTCTGTTGTACCGCCCTGTGTTTCGCCCCCCTCTGTTGCTTCCCCCCCAGTGGAGACTCCCTTCCCCGCGGCGGTGCTACTATATATGGTCATCACGTCCGTCATCTCCCCCTCGCTCAGTACCAAATCCCACTTGTCACTCGTCTCAAAGATCTCATGGTAGGGTCTCCTATTGTCGATAACGAAAAATTTCAAATACCCCACGTAGTTCTTGCTCATAATGGAGGTGAAGAAAGACTCCACCAACGTGTAGACATCGCCATCTGTATTCATATGGGAGCCCATGCCGATGAGGATCACCTCAAAGAAGTAGTCTCGGTAGTAGTCCGCATTCTTGCTGTACACATCTTCATACTTCTTGCAGAAGTTAAGCAGGTCCTCCTTCTTCTCGATCCCATAACTGAATATATTTATGTCCCTCTTGACATTTTTGTGAAAATGGAGAATGTGCTCCGTGCAGATGGAGTCTATATCATTGTAGTAGAAAATGAAGATGTTAAATTTGAACTCCTCGTTTTTGCGGCTAGACAGCTCCTTGATTTCTCTGTTCACGCGCATGTAGTGGTTTACGAATTCTTCCGCCTTTACGAACCCCATCGTGGAGGAGAAGCGGCACGGTTAGGAGCGATTGCAGATGATTAAGCGGATCGGTTAGAGGCGGATCCAGTCACATCTCCGCGCCAAGCGAGGCAGCCTATCGCGCTCTCCCCGTCGACCCCTCTTGCGCCGGAGCGATTGTACACTTAGCCGTGTAGGCCCTATGTACCGCTTCGTACGTCTCAGTGTAAATCGTTAATGAGGGAAATCTCGGTGTAGTTAGGCAGCTTCTTCCCCCCCTTTTCCTCTTCTTATCGCACACTTATCGGGGGTGCCCTCCATGTGCATATATGCCTCGACGGCGTCTGTGAGGAAGTTACGTCTCCCTTTCCCGAAGCTGAAGCGAATTTTCGCACTCGGTTTGGAAGCCGCGATCAGTCGGAGTTATTCCTCCTGTTCGGCGATGTTCCCTTTTGGGAGGTTGATTTATTTTGGCTGATTGACCCCCTTTAGTGAAAGGTGGTGAGTACGCCTTTGCGAAAGGGTTCGCGGTGGGAAGAGGCGCAAGGGGTGTATGTCATTCGTCGAGCTTGTCACGTTCGCCGCGTCTGTCGCGTTCTTCGCGCTTCTCACGTATGTGTTCCTTGGAACGTTCACTTTTTGTGAACCCTCCGGCGAATTGCGCCTCGCTCCTCACGGAGTTTCCCGCGTGCCTTGGGCGTTTAGAGGTGATTTTTTTTTTTTTTTTTTTTTTTTTTTTTTGAGAC